TGATTTACAAATAAGGAATCCTACTTCGCGGAATTTCATTTATCACGGTAGGGTCTAGAACTGATTAACCGCGATAAACGAGGGTTCACTGTAATTTGAAATATTTACAGCATGAGAAAATATTTGTGCTAACTTCCCTGGAATTATTTTTAGTTACCAGTCTTCATTGTAAAGCCATGTTAACAAATTTAGAGTTTTAAAATTACTGTTTTCATATAGGAAAAAAAAAAAACCTCTTTCAGAAAAGTGTGTGGCTCTCTGTAAAAAACTGTACCTGTTTTATTTTGTCTTTGGTCTTAGGTGGTCCACAATTAGTGAACACTTGTTTGCAACAATGGGCTACCCGGGCAAAATGGCGAGCCAGTTTCAAATTCATCATTTGGGGCACCCTCAGGTAATCTGGAAATGTTTTGTGATATGCGTGGATTTTTCGGTTTGTCTTTTCTACTTTTCCACCCATAGCCTCCATTTTTAAAATATGTAGCCAAAGACATTTATGAGTGCCTGCTATCTGCTGAAATTGGAACGAGATAGTGTTTTTTAATACTTATGTTCACCAGTGGCAGCATATCTTTTTGCCAGTATTCATTGAAGAAGCAGATTACTTCTGCTTGTGTATTTTTCTTGTATTTCATTGTACTTGTTTGGTGTAGACAGCAAAAAAATGTTTACACCTACATGTGAGTTGCACTATTTTTTCACAGATGAATAGTATCTGTTACTCTAGCCAGCCTAACCAAATAATGTGTCTTTTACTTGTGAGGGACTATATTTTAAAATTATATTTCCACTGTAAATACATCATCAGTGCACTCCTTAATTTTAAAAGTCATATTTAGTTATTAACTTTGGATATGTATTCAGCTGCCTTAATTCTTTACGTTTTGTAGCCCATCCTCATCGGCACGGTAGCGGTTGGATCTGGTCTTTCCTGGCATAGGACTCTCCCACTGTGTGCAATTGGAGGGGACCACAAGCTGCAGTTTTGGGTGACGGAAGTGTAAAAAAATTTCTCTCTACTTTAGATCCATAAAATTTGTATTTTTAGTACAGATTTTGGGAGAATTCCTTATTTTTATATTAAAAGTACTATATGCATTAGAAATACCTCTCAGTGCTTTCATTAAATAAAATCTTGGTGGTTTGGAAATGACTTTTCTACTCGTTCTCCTATCTAGTTTTGTCATCTTATAAAACTGCATAATTGTCTCAGCAGCTCAGCTCCAAAGAAGAGGTGACTAAGGAAAAATAATGGTTTTGATTTACCACTGGATTCTTGACAATGTATCCTCTATATTTTGAATATATGCTGTTTTCCAAATTCATTTGGATACAAATATTTACAAAAAGAGAAAAAGTTCTCTTACTCTGAAACTCTTGTGGACTGTGTGTGTGTGTGTGTTTGTGTGTGTGTACGTGCCATATACACATTTTCATAGTAATCTATATTTATAGGAATCAGTTCCTAAGTAGAAAGATTATATCATTCAATTTAATTTTAAAAAACAGATTTTAAAGTTGCCTAAAAACATCCTTGGTTATGTTAGACACTACTGCTTTTCATATGCATATTACTTTATATACTTTATAACCATATTTGGTATACGGGCATGGTGAATTGAAATCATTTGCTAAGGTTCTTTTATCCAGTCTTTGTAACTACTACTTAGTTACTAAGTAGCAGTGTGCAAATAAGGTGTGCTCTAACTCAAGGGTTAGTTTAGGGTAAAGTGAGCCATCTCAGAAGCAGAAACAGGGACTCCCATAACCATAAAGATAGAAGAGGCCCCTAGAAGAAGATCATGGGTGAAATTCTGGAGTGAAGTGCTGGAAGTAGCAGAGGCACCAGAGGCCCAAGCACTGAGACCATGAGATAGAGTTCTGTTGGTTTTCTGGCCCACAGAACAAGTAAAGCTGAATACCTTCTGACAGAAGGATAATTTGCAAAGTAGTGTGCCCTCTGGGCATTTATCAGTGCTAGAGGAACTTGGTAACACTTGCCTGAGCATGGTGGAGGCCAAGGGGCTGCCTGACTGAGAAGATGAGGACCAGACAGAGACAAGACGTGACTGCCAGCATGGCTGAGAAGACGCACTTCTGCAAACAAATGGACTGTCTCCCAAATGTTTTCTGATCCTGATGTGTTTGATCGGACTTCCCTAATAAAGCCCCATAACCCTGAGTATTGTCTGTGAATTCTGTGTGGCTAATACAACAAAGTTTTGAACCCACAAGAGAAGTAGAGTATCCTGGGGAATAGGAAGTGGGAGGGTAGAGTCATGTCTCTCCTCTCCCTCACAGGCAACATCTTCAGGCAGATGGGAAGTTGGACTTCCCTTCTCCTTTGTGTAGCCAGAGGTGCTCAGACCTGACCCCTGTACTATTTCCACAATAGGATTAACCATAACTTGAAAAATGGGTTTTAGCTTAATCTCTTTTAACAATTCTTTTTAAGACTCTTCACCATTCTTATCAAGACTTACAATTTTTGGTGTGTGTTTTTTTACATAGTCCCAATGAGAATATATATCAACTCAACAGTTTCTACCTATGTGATTCAATGACATTAATCACCTACTTTTGTAACTATTGTCTCCCTCTCTTTGAATTGTCCCTCATTAATATATATTCACTGGCCTATGAAGTATCCTTTATACTCTTTTGAGTTCCTTTTATCAGTTTGATCCCATATGTGTAGCTCTTACAAGAACATAATGCTCAAGGCAGACGTCCTTCACTACTTAAGCTAAACTATTGATCTTTAAAAGACATAAGGAATGATTTGGGGGACACAAACGTTTTTGAGATGACACCCAGTGGCAACAGAACAGATCTGTGAGCATCCTCTCCAAGATCATTGCAATCCACTTTCTGTAAGTCAGACCTATATGTCTTTTGTGGTGCATCAGGAAGCAGTCACAAAAGTTTTTCTGTTTGTCAGGTATAGAGTTAAATTGCTTTCTACAAACTGCATTCTTGCACCTTATTCCCCTCTCAGAAGCTCCATTTCCTTTAATAAAATGGAGCCAGACATCACTACAGCATGGAGCTGCTGTGAGGAGGCTATGAAGTGAAGGTGAAGGACGACACGGAGCTTGCGTCCACCTTACAAGTCAGGGCCTGTGGCCATCATTGCTGGATCTCCAATGCGTGGCTCTTGTTTTTGAGGATTTGGAACTTTTTCAATTAACTTTTTATTTTGAATTAGGTGAGAGTTTACGTGCAAATCATTTTTGCTTTCAACAGTCTAACTTGTCCACCTTCCCCATTGCTTGTCCTAATCCCACTGTTCCCCATGTTAACACCTAGCTGCCCTTACTTAACCCAGGGGTCAACAAACTGACTTGTGAGCCATATTCAGCAATTTCTGTACATGGGGCTCTGAAGTACAATTGAAAATGAAAATAAAGCTATCAGCTTCACTTAAAGGATATTTTTGAGATAATGGTGGTTTTGTTTGTAAAAGTATATTTATGGCTCTCAAATAATTTTTAAATTGTGTGGGATAAGATTGACTTCCTTCTCAAAAATTTGTTGATCCCTGCTCTGGCCTGTTACTTCCCTACCACCCTTGGGAATCATCAAAGTTTGAGTCTTAGTCTGAAAACCTCCACCCCCCCACCTTTTCAGTGGTCTCATACAATGTTTGTCCTTTTGTCACTCGATCTTTACTCAGCATAATGTTCCCCGAATCCATCCCTGTTAGAAGGTGTGTCTCAATATCATCATTATCCTATAGTTATGCATAGTACTCCACTGTGTGAATGGAAAGGATTGTGAGCATTTTTTTTCATTCCTAATGCCAATAAGCTTTTTTGCCAAATCTTACTGAATCAAGAATACTATCTTTAAGATAAGAAATTGTTCAGATAATAATGAAATTTTGCCATAGTTTAGAAGGTGTGAATAGTAGTATGCTTTAGAGTACACATTTTTAAAATTGTTAATTTCCAAGTCAATCATTTAATATGATGTCATTTTTATAAGATTGGTAAAATGTCATGCCAAATAATATAGTTTCCCTTACCCTTTCATAAGCAGATTTTAAGTTTAGAAGAGCAATAAGGAGAGAATTCTGTTGGTGTTACCCTTAATAGTTGCTTAAAGAATTGTATAAAAAATTATTTTAGGATATATCCAAAAACTAAGGGGCCATCCCTTAGGTCAGTGGATTTTAAAATGTCTTCTGCTTAGTAGAATTGACTTTGAAGTAGAGTGGACTCTTTAGGCATAGAGATTGGAGGATGATAGGTTGGGCTTGAGTGGCTGGGAGATGGCTTATCTGGGAGAAGAACTTGTCAAAAATATAGGAACCTTCCAAAATCATGACCATAGAGTCGATGCCAACTCATAGCAACCCTCTAGGAGAGGGTAGAGCTACCCCTGTGAGTTTCCAAGACTAACTTCACAAGAGTAGAAAGTTCCATCTCTCTCCTGTAGAGCGA